GAGGATTAACAGAAAAAGTCACTGACCACTCAGGGGACGGTGCCGGATGGGTGTCCGCGCCCGGAAAGGGGCCGTGCTGGTTTCCTGTAGAAACTGTTTATGTGAGGCAGGTTGGCCACTTTAGCCCAGATCTCACCTCACATCCCCGTCCTTAAGTTAATTCCCATTTTGAGTTATTTCCCAACTAAACCTTTGTCAGAAAAAGATTGGATATGAAAGTGCTTTCTTACAATTACAGAATAATTTATATTTTATTTCCTAAAATATTTCCACACATAGTGTACCTTTTCATCCTGAATAGCAACGGTGAGTAGTAGCAAGTGAAACGGGAGTTTCTGAGGTTGTTTTGGCTCAGAGCAGCTAGGTGACTGGCCAGAGGCCGCACAGCAGCAGCCCACCTGCCAGGGGTTTCCCTCAACCCCTGCCAGGCACTCTCCCTGTAGGCCGTCTCCTCTGGGGAGCCGGGCAGCCAGAGGTTCCCGCTGTGCAGGGTGTTGTGGCTGAGGTCTCACCGGGTGTGTTCCCTTACAGCCTGGAGGAAGGCCCAGCTGTATGCAGGTAAGTGACTCAGTTTCCTGTGGCTTCACCTCCCCAGCCTCGACCCTGCCCCCTTCTCTGTCAGTGGACCGCACCCCAGGGTGGGGTGGGCGAGCCTGCTCTCCTGTCACTTTTGTGGCCGCCATCTGAAGGGTGCCAGGACTCCTCCTTGGGAACACACACCTGCCTCCGTCTGGCCCACCCTCCACCGCAGGTCCCCCCAGGGCTAGCAGCACTGCTGAGCTCACCTTGTCCTGAGGGCGGAGGGGTGGTGAGGAGAGATCGCAGCCCGGGAACAGGGTGCCCATTCGCCGTCTCTCTTTCTAGGTTTCAGAAACCCTGCTTGCCTGGGTAGGACTCAGGTCTTCCTAAGGGGTCCTTGGTTTTGGATCCTTCTTGCCCTGAAATCCCTCCCCTTTTTGGATCTAGTTTTGTTTTCCATTTCTTCCTGGTCCTCTGAGAGATTGGTCTCGGCTTCCTGATGCCCTGAGCTCCGTCTATGCTGGTTCCTCCCTCTCAGCCTCCTTGGCTGCTGAGGAGGTGATTGCTTTAAAGCAGGTGTTCTCGCCGGAACCGGTTTGGCTCAGTGGATAGAGCATCGGCCTGCGGACTGGAGGGTCCCAGGTTCGATTCCGGTCAAGGGCATGTACCTGGGTTGCGGGCACATCCCCAGTAGGAGGTGTGCAGGAGGCAGCTGATCGATGTTTCTCTCTCATCGATGTTTCTATCTCTCTATCTCTCTCCCTTCCTCTCTGTAAAAAATCAATAAAATATATTAAAAAAAAAAAAAGCAGGTGTTCTCAGTCTGGGGTCCAGACCCTGCAGGTTTCTGGTACAGTCTGTGAAAGAGCTAAAGTTATATGCAAATCTAGATGCCCGGTGCACAAAATATAGGGGTTGTTTTGCTTTCACTACCCATGAGAAAGGGAAGAAAATTTGTTAGTGTCTGTCCTCTTACTGAATGCATGTCTTTCCTGCTTTGAACTTCTCTCCCTTCCTTAGAAACTCCTCCATTGCTTTGGACTGGGCAAGATTTCTCTGATCTGTAGCCCCAGTTCTTTAGAGGAAAACCTGGCTTTCAGGATGGCTGTGTGGCTTGGGACTTGAGAAAGAAACTTTGATACTGAGTCTGGGCCTTTCTGCTCAGGTCAGTCTCCGGACTCTGAGTCCTGAGCGTTAAGCTTTCACGGGAAGGTGGTAGCATGGTAGCTCCATGTGCATGTGTGTGTGCATGTGTGCATCTGTGTATGTGTGTGTGTATGTGTGTGTATGTGTGGGTGTGTTTGCATATATAAAAGGAAATAAATGCATTAGCTGAATGTTTCCAGAAACAATTTCCCCTGTACGCCTGCCTCAGTATGCTTCAGGTCTCTGCGGTCCCTGACATGTGCCGTGTTCTCTTGCAGATTGGCGGCAGGAGAAGTTCCAGGCCTGTGAGTGAGTGTGTTTTTTCTGGGTGCGCCTCCTGCTGCCCCAAGACTTCTGGCCTCTCCTACAGCTCTCTGGTGGGACAGATAATGGCCCCAGCAGTGGTGGCGGGCTGGGTGGCGAAGGTGATAGCACAGAGCTGGGGCTGGGGGTGGCTGGTATTGGGTGCTGAATAGATATCCCTCACCTGTGGAGTCCAGGCTGGGCCTCAAGGGCCCTGAGACATAACCAACCTGATTAGGTCCTGTGATTCCTTCTCCTGCTTGGAGGGCCATGGGCTTGCCTCACAAGGCGCTTGGCTCAGGAGGCTGCCTCCCCTTGCAGCTAAGTGTGGGGGTGGGGGAGGTGTGCCCTTGTTGGGGTGGGGGAGGCCTTGATGAGTGGCCCTCTCTCTGCAGGGCCTGTCACTCTGGACCCAGGCTCTGCGGATTCCAGCCTTGTTGTCTCTCATGAGAGGAGGAGCGTGGCCTTGAAGGAGGCCTGTGAGGATTCTGGCGGCAGCGTGTTGGGCCTGGAGGGCATCACAGCAGGGCGCTGTCACTGGGAGGTGGAGGTCCCCTATGGGGACGGAAGCGAGTGGTTTCTGGGGGTCTGCCGGGAAGATGTGGAAAGGACAGGGTGGTACACAGAGTCCCCAGAAAAGGGGTTCTGGGTTGTGGGGCAGTTTGAAGCTGGATTTTGTCCCTGCACTAAGGATCCCACTCCTTTACCCCTGAGGCAGCTTCCGCGCAGGGTGGGGGTTTTCCTGGACTACAGCGAAGGGGACGTCTCCTTCTACAACATGACTGATGGCTCCCACATTTTCTCCTTCCCTCGGGCTTCCTTCTCCGGGACCCTCTTTCCATACTTCAGGTTGAAGTCAGGAGTTGGGTCCTTGACCATCTGCCCCATGGCGGGTGCGCCCGAGGGGCTCCCTGTGCCCCTTAACAATTCTCCTTCTTTCGAGGAGCCTGTGAGCCCCCCAGGCTCTAGTGCTGATGGGGCTGAATCTCCATTACTTCCCGCAACGGGAGGCCCGCCCCGCCACTGTCCCTGACCCCTCACTAGGCGCTTCTGGAGCTGCAGCTCTCTG